GTATGTGTGTTTGTGTGTCTATGTGTGTTTATATGTGTGCACACATCCATGTGGAGCCATGAGGTTGAAGTCAGGAGTCTCCATTGGTTGCTCTCCACCTTCTCCCTTGGGGCAGGGAGCTCACTGGCAAGGCTAGTCTGGCTGAGCAGCTTGCTCTGGGCAGCTCCTGTCTCTGCTTTCCAGACGCCGGCCACCATGCCCACCCAGCATTTACACGGGCTCTGGGGATCTGAACTCTGAACTCAAGCTTGCTGCTTGCATAGAAAATGTTTTAGCCATTGCACCATTTCGCCGCCCTCTGTTGTGTTCTCATGGCACACCTATGAGGTGGAGTTTCAGAGGAATTTCTTCAAAGTTAGCTCTACTGTAAAAATGCATGGGCATTCGTTTTCTACAGTCTAAGAATTAACACTGATCATAAAAGAAAACATTGAAATGCAACAGTCACCAAGTCACCAAAAACTTGAAAATAGACATCTGTGTTGTCTTCAGATATATCATAATTCATTGTATTCATTGGGCACAATTTAAAAGTTCACCCTGATCATACCAATAAAACATAAAGGTTGCTATGGAAATATGAATTTTTGCTATGTTGCATGGAGGGAAGTGGGCTGTAGAAATACAAGGTCACACCACTGTTTTGGCTGAGGCTTCACAAGCCCTACCTTAAACCTAAAGCAGAGAAACTGAGTTACCGTTCCATGGATGACAACACGTCAAAGCCTGGGATTCCGAGAGCCTCAGCTTGGATGAGCCCGCAAGCACCTTGTGAGAAAGAGGTGCTCCTTCTAGACCCCCAGATCTCTGCCTTGAGAAGTCGGGGGAGTCCTTCAAGTAGCCTACCTTTTGGTTACTGGCACAGCCATTTCTTTCCTGGACCCCGAGGGGGAGGGGAGGGAAGTGCTGGGTTTCTTTGGTAACACGGTGCCATTGTTGACGGTGCTTCTCAGTGGCAAGGTCTGCCCCAGTGGTCTCGCTGCAAGAGAAGCAGAGGATGAAGTCAGGACTTAACCCACAGCAGCAGTAATGAGCCACAGCACCAGGCTGCCCAGAGATGGTTTCAACTCTAAAAGCTAGCAGGAGTAGCACGGGTCTGAAGGCCAGTGGTGAGGCTGTTTCAGCAACGGTGAACAGTGACCTTAGAGAACATCCTTCACTCCACACAGACATTAACTCAGAAGCAACAGGAAGCACAAAACTGAACATCTCTAGAAGCAAGCACTGAAGGGCTCAGCGACCTCCCCCTGCTCCTCCTCCTGTTCCTACTGTTCCTTCAGCTGTTCTTTCTCCTCCTCTTCCTCCCCTTCTCTTTTCTTCCTCCTGCACTGCCTCAACTTCCTAGTCTCCCTGCCTCCCAGGCAGATGTATGTTGTTGTGTCCGGCTTAGACACTAATGAGAATCAAACTACATAAGCACTGGACCAACCAAGCTGCATCCCTAACTCAATGAAGCTGCTGTTGTTCAAGATACGACACTGTTCTACTTTTGTTTCTGTTCCTGTGATAGAACATCCTGACTAAAAGCAGCATGGAGGAAGAAGGTGTTTATTTGCTTTACAGTTCCAGGCTATATTCCATCACTGGGGGGAAGTTAAGGCAGAAAGTCAAGCAGCTAGTCCTGGTACATCACAGGGGAGGGCAGAGAGAAAGGAACAGATCCAACATGGCTTCTGCATTGTCTCTCAGCGTTTTCCTCTCGTACTGCCTAGGAGATGGTGATGCCCACATGGACCAGGTCTCCCGTCATCTATCAATGATGAGGACGATCTCTCACAGACACGGCCACGGCCCATCTGACCCAGACAATTCCTCAATTGAGGCTCTCTTCTCAGGTGATTCTAAGTCATGGCAGGTAAAACTAACCATCATGGTGGGAAGGGGGCTGCAGAGATGGCGGTGAAGAGCACTTGCTGCTCTTGCAGAGAGCTTGGATTCGATTCCCCACATCTACACACAACCATCCGAAGCTCTAGTTACAAACGGTCCAATACCTTTGCTGACCTCCTTGGGTACCAGGCCTAATTGTGGTACATATACACATACATGCAGACAAGATACCTTTACACATAAAATTAAAAAAAAATAAACTAACAAATATCAAAAGCTTGACCGATGTGGGGGAAATTGACAAAGTAAACCTCATTAAGAACTTTACAAGTTTGCCAAAGAAATTTAAAGAAGATGGAAGCACAAATTATAGCTTGGAAGAAAATCTGTGTCTGATAATTATGAGTCTGATAAAGGACTTGTACAGAGTATAATCAGGACTCTGAAAATTCAACAATAAAAAAACAAACAGCCCAATTAAAAAAAAAAGTGGACAAACGATCAGAAGAGATACCTCACTAAAGATCTTGGCAAATGTGAACACATGCAAAGATAGCTAACATCACCGTTATTGGGGAATTCAAGTTAAAACAACAACAGTGAAATAGCTCTATACACCATTAGAATGGCTGAAATCCCAAAACCAAAACAAAACCGATTGCAAGCCAGGAAGGGGGCCGCAGGAACCCGCATTTATTGATAATGGGCATGAAAAATGGTGCAGCTATTTTAAAATACAGTTTGGCAGTTTCTTACAAAGCTAAATTTAATCTTACCATATGATCCGGTAATCATTCTGACACTAAGTATTTACCTAATTGCCTGAAAACTTATGTCTACCCAGACCTGCATATAAATGTTTATAGCAGTTTTAGTCACAATTGTCAAAGACTAGAAGGAACCAAGATGGCCTTCCTTCCATAGGTAAATGAATAAATAAACAAGCTGGTCCATTCAACAGCAGACTGCCTCGGTGATAAAAAGAAACGGACTGCCTGGAGCACACATGAATCTGAAGCCCGCACAAGCGTGACGGTTAGTGTTAAGTGTGAGCTTGACAGAATCTGGAATCACCTGGTTCTGGGCATGCCTGAGGGGGATTGTCAGGAAGTGGGAAGAGCTGTCCACTATGGGTGGCGCCATCCCCTGGCTGGGACCCTGGACCGTGTAACAGTAGAGAAATTGGGCTTAGGAGTGGCCTGTACTCGCTGCTCTGTTTCTTGATTGGGGATCTAATGTGGCCAGCTGCTTCAGCTTCACCTGATCCTGCCCACTTGGTGGGGGTGAGAGGACCTGGAGGGTGTGCTTGCTTCAGCACTGCTCTAAATCTGGAGGAAGGGGGGGGCAGAGACGATTCTCTCCCCCCACTGTCAGTGCTCTGTAGTTTTGGGGACCACACCGAGAACAGCTGGCTACGACACTGTCAACCTTGGTTGTCCTCTCGTCTTTACCATACTAGCTGTCACGGCCTTCTCTGGGATTCCTGTCAGGTCTGTGATGGCTGTTCTTGGTTGTCAGCTTGACACCTGGAATTAACTAAAATCCGAGCGGCTGGGTATAACTGAGAGATTTTCTCTTATTGTTGTTAAATCAGTAGAGGTGGGAAGACCTACTGTTTTTGTTTTTGTTTTGTTTCTTGAGACAAGATTTCTCAGTGCAGTTCAGACTCATTCTGTAGACCAGGTTGGCCTCAAACTCAGATCCACCTGCCTTTACCCCCCCCCCCCCAGGTGCTAGGATTAAAAAAGCGTTCCAACACCCCTGGCTGAGGAAAGACCCACTTTTAACCTGGATCAAGTGAAAATCTCCATCTTTAATCTGGGCCACATCTCCTGCTGGCAGCCTGTGTGAGGACATGGAAGAAAGAAGCTTTGCTCTTTGCCTGCTTGCCCTTGCCTTGCTAGCACATCTACTTCTCCCCTGGTATTGTAGTCTGCCTCTTCAGGATCCCAGCTGAGACATCCAGCCTTGTGAACTGAACCACTTCTGGATCCTGGGACTTTCTGTTGGTGGGCAGCTGTTAGATGAACTGGTCCACAGTCTGTAAGCCACTCTGATAAACACCTTTCCCACATATAACTGATACTCCTCCTATCAGTTCTGTTCCTCTAGAGAACCCTGACTAATACAAAGGCAGCTTTTGGTTGACACTGTCCTAGAGTCACACCCACCCACCCTCTAGCCATGTGCTTTAATGGACTCTACACCCAGCCCTGGAGCCCAGGCCGAACACTGAGTCCCTTGGGGACAGAAATAAACTGTCACCACTTCTATCCCTGAAGGGCAGCAAACAGTTACCAGAGCCCAGAAAAGACCAGAGGCCCTGGGGACACAGCAACGCCAAGCAGATGGACAGTGCCATGTTGATGGATTGTCACAGAATCAGACAAAGGCAAAAATATTCTAAGCTTTTACTGTCGTTCCCTACCTCTCACTCCTAAAGGGGAGGTGGAGGCCGAGAGCCTGTAATGTGCTACTCCAGGGGGTGCTGGCTGGGGAGGGCCCAAAGCACGGAGAGGAGCAGACCCAGCTGTCGCACACTAAGAATGCTGCATGCAGCCGGCTGCCCACTAACGGGTCAGCTCCATCAACCATTGTCACCAGCCCACACATAGAAGGAGCATGAGTCGGATGGACCTCCACATCTACAGGTTCGATGCCTGTGGGCTCTTCCAACTGAAGACAGATAATGGCTTTTAAAAAGTCAGGTTTTTTTTCTTGCTATTATTTCTTGAACAACAGGACCCACAGCATTTACAATATACTAGGTATCACATGTGACACAGGAGGGATTTCAGTTGTAAAGAAGGATGGGAGTAGGTGTTACTGGACTTTTGGCTACTTTATTGGGTTCTTTTTCCTACCTCCCTATGCCACCCCTATCCCTCTTAACCCACCAAAACTAGGTGGGAGAGAAAGAAGGTTAGAGGGAAAACGGGGCACCGAGATCATTAGACTACTTCCTGCTGGTTAGGGGTGTCAAGTTCCTTGGGGCAGATCTGATCTTCGTCATCAGGATATCTCCAACCAGCAATCAGCAACCAGCAATCCAGCAGACAGTGGCAGCCAGGGGAGCAGCAGCCCCCACCTCTTGGGACTCTAGCATTAATGTACCCTCTAAAGAGTCCTCATCATGCCAATCATAAACCAGCTTCAGCTGGCAAAATCACACCCCTGCTAAAGCACAAGGCAAATCGGCTGCTGTGGACAATCTGAAGCAGCCCCACATCCCACACTTGGGATGAAAACAAAAACATATTCCCATAACGTTTTTATGCTTTTAAAGAAACCGAAATTCTCACCACAAGTGGGCTCTTCGTAATGCACTTTGCCGTTACATGTGAGGGACCTGAGCCAGTCCCCAAAGATGTAGAAAGATGCCTGTTTTTGTGAATCAGCTCACGCTATATTTCAATAACACTACGTGGAGAGACAGCTCAGTGGTTAAGAGTATACACTACTCTTTCAGAAGATCTGAGGTCAGTTACCAGCATCCACGTTGGGTGGCTCACCACCAACTGCCTGCTAACTGCAGCCTCAGGGTACCCAACGCTCGTCTTTTGGCCTTTTTGGACAGCTGCACTCAAATGCACAAAGCACACGCTGACATACACACATTTACACATAAACTTAAGAATATAAATAGGATCATTTTTGAAAGGTATGGCAGAGAACAATCCAAGCAAACATTCCAGGATAGACACATACCTGACACCCAAACGTGCACATGCACACGCCACGCAAATCTTAGAAAAGAAACAACACAGCTTCCATCTCCCGGTTGCTGGGAGAAATGAAGTCATGATTTCCAGGGTATGCTAAGATAGAAGATATCCTTCTAGCCGGGCGTGGTGGCTCTTGCCTGTAATCCCAGCACTCAGGGAAGCAGAGGCAGGTGGATCTCTGTGAGCTCGAGGTGAGACTGGTCTACAGAGTGAGTCCAGGACAGCCAAGACTACACAGAGAAACCCTGTCTCAAAAAACAAACAAAACAAAACAAAAAGAGATTCTTCTGCCTCATAAAGTGTTAAATGTCTTGAAGTCACATCTTAATCGTTCCTCGGGTAAGTGCAGGGATGACACAAAAGGACTTCTCAGATGAAGCGAGCACCACAAATACTGAGGTGGGAACACCCTCCAGGATGAGATGGCGGCAACCCGGGTCTCAGAGGGACACAGGGCAGAGACCCTCGAGGCGGACAGGGCTGATCTCCCCACTAGCTTGGATCAGCCGTGGATATGCCAACACCCTTTCTAAGCCTCAAGTTCCTCATCAAATAAGTCTGGCGATGCCTGCCTGGCAGGCCGCTGGGAGGGTTAGAAACAAGAAGTGAAACTCCTTGACGAAGGGTGTGGCACACAGCATGCATGAAGATGAGGTAGCTGACATCTTGGCTTTTATTGCTGTGATAACAAAACACCCTGACAAAAAGCAGCTTGTGGAGAAAGGGCTCATTTTAGCTCACGGTTCCAGGCTATTGTCCACCGTAGCAGGGAGGTCAAGGCAGAATCGTGGAGCAGCGGGTCACACCACAGCCACAGCCAAGAGCAGGGAGAGGAAGGCACGCATGCCGCTGCTCACCTCACCTTTTCTGCTCTCCCACAGTCCAGGACACAGCCCCACTGCTCTACAGACTTCAGGCCCAGGGCCTGGAGCTTCAGTTAAGAGCTTGACCCCCAAATGACATAGCGTAGGCCACAGCACCCCCTAGGACATGTCTCCCACTTTCCTGACTCCCTTTCATTCCTCAGTGTGAGTTCCCACCTTTCAAACTTATGCTGTTTTCACTCACAGACACAATGTACAGCGAAGCATCAGATAACTGAAAAAGTCATTTCTCTCAGGTTCTGTAATGATCAAATGTCCCACTCATCATCAAGTAAAATAAAAACCCTGGCTGAACCCTGTCTGTTATTTCCCCTACTCTTCAAAAACAAGGAAAGTTGAGAAACCCGAAGCTTCATTTAAGGCACCCTTTGGGACACAGTCATCACCAGATCTATTTGTGGAAAGTTGGGTAGGTCACAGAAATCTAACATAACCGGGTTTCTGGTCTGAAACATCCCAGCCACTTTAGAATGTAGAAGCAAAGATCACCGGAAAGAATTGTTCAAAATAGAGAGCCAAGGGAAGCATGTGCCTCTGATGTGGGTCTGCCCTCTAGTATCATGAAGGACAAAGAATGGCTCCCTCTCCACAGAGTGGAGACATAGCCAAGCAGTAGAGAAGGCAATGCTTGAGCAAAACCAACAAGAGTCAGTGTTAGACGGCCTTCTCCCAACTCAGTGACAACCCAAGCCTTCAAGCTGACAGAGAGAGAGGGAGACAAAAAAACAGACAGAGACATATAGAGAACATGTGTGTGTGAATTCATGCGTCTTGGTTTTTGGGACTAGATCTCTCACTGGCCTAAAGCTTGCCAAGAAGGCTAGGCCAATCAGTAAGACCTGGGAACCCATCTACTGCCCCCTTCTGGCACTAGAACTATAACCCACAAGCCCACACCACCTCATCCAATAGCACCATCTTTTGGTCTTCACACTTGCATGGCAAGCACCTCACTGACTGGGCTATCTCCATGGCTCAAAAAAAAAAAAAAAAAAAAAAAAGGTTTGTTTTTGTTTCTGTTTTATTTTTGAGACAGGATCTTTCTGTGACATCCTGACGGTCTTGGAATTCACAGAGATCCACCTGCCTCCACTTCCAGAGTGCTGAGATTAATAAAGGTGTGTACCACCATGCCCAGCCAAGAAAAGCATTTCTAAAGGGACATTTACATGATACAACCTCAGGGTATTTTATCCAGAGGAACCTCACAGCCTGGATGGGACAGCCAGAAAACCAACTCTGGCAAAAGATGAGCCACGGCCCGCAGGCAGAAATGTCAGGACACTGATAAATGCATGTGTGTGGTGACAGGCTTTATGACACCTTTTGTTTCTGAAACTTGAAGGCATGGTCACTACAGAGTAACTTAACATGAGCACTGCCTTTGTAGGCCATGTCCTGGGAGGGGCAGGAAATAGTGGCTTGAATTGGGCAGAAACCTACTAGTACATCCCCATGGGTACAGGAAGGGTCCCAAAAGCACACCCTGAGCAAACAGGCCAGCTAGATGCCTCTGTACTCAGCTTTCTAAAGGGAAGTCTCCCACATCTACACCCAGATTAGCTGAGGGCACAGGAAGAGAAGAGACATAACAGTAAACCCTACGGATGGACCCTCCAGCAGGGCCCAAAGCTCTGTCAGCTCACTCTGTCCCAGCAACCTTAACTGTCCTCAGTGGTCCATCCAGACAATCCCTTTCTTGACTCAAAGAGTACCTAAGTATCATCTTCAAATGTGCACCTCAGCATCACTCAGGACAACCCCGCTCCCCCAAAGGCACGCCAACAAATACCGTCAAATTTTGTGAGATTGGTTTAGTGGGGCGGGGCTTAGGGCATTTTGATTTGGGGTCAGATTGGGGATGAGTCACCCTGGCAGGGGCAGGGATCTCTGACGCTGCTGCGGACACCACATTGTGCCCACCTTTGGTCGGTCCTTTCCTGTTCAGCACAGCCTGTTGCTCCTCCGTGATGTTCAGCCTCCGAACCACGTCGGCCAGCGCAGACTTGAGCAGCTGGATGTCATCCTCCTGCATCTGGACTCGCTGCTCCAGAGAGGCGATGCGGTCTGATACGTCCATGCTGCTGGCAGCAGATGCGCTGTCATCTAGAGCAAAGAGAAGCGTCAGGAGAGTGAAATAACCCCTCTCCCCTGTGACAACCAGATCTGTACACAGGACACTGTTTGAACATGATGCAGTCTACAGACCTAAGACAATGGCTTGTTGGCAGAGTCACGTGGGCCGGTTTACTTTATGGAATTTCTTCTCTTCATTCCATTACCAGCACCTCACTCTCCATGTGCTTGTCATGTTTAAACTGACGTCTACATGCAAACCCATTTGTTTGCTTATTCGGCGGTATCAGGGCCCCTCGGGGATGTGAGTAAGGTCAGACTCTGTTTACTTCAAATTCTCAGTAGTGTGGAGTTCTCTGCTTGCCCTTCTAGCCCTCCTCTAACAGTGCTAGCTGACCGGGACCTTGTGGTCAGAGGCCCACACGGCCCATCCAGGTGCTAGCTGCTCAGTCTCTTGAAACCAAAGCAGGTGTGCCTAAATCCATTTTGGATCTCCAAGATCCCCCACCAAACCGTGGCCAGGCGGTACTAGCAGATGGAGATGTACCCAGGTCACGGTGACAGTACCAGCACCAAGAGGGCAGCTCCATGAAATTCAGACACAGCCCTCAGAGCTTCAGATGCAGAGGGCCACTCCCAAATTAGCACAGATTGGGGAAATGAGGTCCCACTCTTTGAAGGCCAAATCGCCGACTGGTCAAATCTGTCTGGTAAACAAGCCCTTATGTAACAGCCGTGGACATCACCTTGACAGGTACGAACTCCTGGTCACCCCCACTGTGCTCTGCATGACCTTCCCTGTCTCTCTCACCTCCTCCTCACTGATGGCATTCCCACCATGCCGCCTTCCCTACGGTGGCCTGAATGAGAACGGCCTCATAGGCTCAGATGTTTGAGGACTTGGTCCCTAGCTGGTGGAACTGTTTGGGAAGGATTAGAAGGTGTGTCACTGGGGAGTGGGCTTTGAGGCATCAAGACCTGAGTGCCATTCCCAGTGTGCTCTCTGTCTTGTGGATCAGGAAGTGAGCCCTCAACTGCTGCTCCAGCCACCCACTGTCACTGCCACCCGTTGTCACGCCTTCACTCCAGACACCGCAGACTCTCGCCCTCTGGAACAGCTACCTCAACTTTCTTTTAAAAGTTGCCTTGGGCACAGTGTTTTGTCATAGCAATAAAAACCTTAGGCGAAACCCTAACCTTAAGCTCCCCTTAAGGCTTAGAGCTTTAACATTTTTTTATTTGTGTGTATATGGATAAAAACACTTGTATAGGCCACGGCATTCATGTGGAAGTCGGAAGACAGCTTTCCTGGGGCTGGTCCCTCCTTTTACCATGTGAGTCCTGCTGATGACCCATCTCAATGGCCCAAAAGACACACTTCAGATACAAAGATAAAGGCAGGATGAAAGCAAATGAACAGGAAAAAAAAAAACAGTATCATGTAACTAAAATTAGAGAGGCAAAGAGCTGTGTCACAATGAACAGGGGAGGCAATCCCAGCGGAATTTCTATTACAAAGAGCACTGGCTCTGGATTCCAGACTTTTTCAGATTCCAGCTCTGCTCCTCACTAGGTACCCCAGTTTCTCCACCAGAAAAGCAGGGACAGCACCAGCATCCATCTCAGACGGTTATTGTAACAGTAGACAAATTCTGCTTCACTTAGAATATATTTGCACATGCTAATGCATAAATGTACGCTAGAAATAAGCTGTTATTATCAAAACCTTAGTACAACGTCCGAGTAAACTCAAATCTAATATTTCTTTCAAAATTCTAGAGTACTCTCTAAATAGTTTTAAAATTCGTTCTACTCTTAACTGTATGTCAGTGTGTGGGTATGTGCATGCCAGCAGAAGGTCTCAGATGCCCTGGAACCCGCATTACAGGCAGTCCTGAGCATTGAGTAGCCCACTGTATGCTGGGAACTGAACTTAGCCCCTTTCTGAATTTGTTTGTTTGTTTGGTTGGTTGGGTTTTCAAGATAGAGTTTCTCTGTGTAGCCCTGGCTGTCCTGGAATTCACTGTAGACCAGGCTGGCCTCGAACTCAGAGATCTTACTGCCTCTGCCTCTGGAATGCTGGGACTAAAGGCGTGAATCATCACTGCCCCGGCTCTTTCTCTCCGAACATTTTGTGTGTGTGTGTGTGTGTGTGTGTGTGTGTGTGTGTGTGTGTGCAGGTAAGAATTTAGTATTTCATTAACAATATGTTTTATAAATAGAAAGGCTAATGTTACAGCTTGCTACCGAGGCCCACGCATTAAACCTCAGGGGTAGGGTGATGGCACTACAGAACTTTTGGGGCTGGGGTGTGGTAGACCCTCTGAGGTCACTGGACACATGCCTTTGCAAAGGATTGTGGGACCTCGACCTTTTCCCCATTCCTTTTCATTTTTGCTTCTCAGACATGAGGTGAGTGGTCCGCTCTACCATGAGCTCCACCCACAAAGAATGCTGTGTCATCATAGCCCCAAAGCAGCCGGGCCAAGAAAGCATGGACAGGAAGTTTCAAACGCTGAGCTAAATAATCCCCATCTTTCTAGAAGTTCATTGTCTCAAATCTTCTGTTATGGTCAATGAATGCTAACACAGAAAGACCAGCTATGACTTCTCTGGGTTGTTTATGCAGACAACAGTGTTTAGACAAGATGCACAAACTTGTGATTGGGGTCTGAGCCAGCCCAGTACAGAAGCCTGTTTGGTCCAAACTTGTACTGTGAACTGTGTATCTCCACACATGGAGTAGGACAGAAATGGCATGCTGAGTGACGATGGTCTAAAATTCACAGTTGAAAACAGCACCACTATATCCTCAATAGGTGGGTAGATGGGTGGACAGATGGATGGACAGGTGAGACTTGAGCAAAAATGCGTAAATCAGACTTTCAACCACACCATCCAATTTGTATAGGAAGACATATAATTGAATTTTTTTTTAATCAAAAAAAAAAAAAACACCCAATATCCACCTTTGAACACAAGTAAAAACTGAAGTGTCTCGTCTTCTAAGGAGATTCTCTGCTTTTGAGCCTGCTAAGGTTTCCCTGAGAGATAATCCGTGCACTTTTCAGATCCTGCTCAGCTGTGACAGCTTGGTTTCCTCGGGTAATGGCTGGGAGACCGCTTGGCAGCACTCGAGGCTTCATCTTCCCCTTAATACAGCCGGGGAAGCAGATTAGTCAGAGAACAGCATAACCCAGAGCTGACCCACACAGGCAGTCGCCAACAGGGAAACACATCACCGGGTCCTATAGCTTGAAAAGGAACGTTCTCCCTCATTTCTGTCAAAGAAGACTATGCTGAACAAGGATGCGCCACAGATAAAACCACTGAAAGCTATCTACTTTAAAGGGATTTCAGAACTGGTACCTCCTGCACATTTATCCAGGAAAGTCATTAAAACAGAGCCCAGACCGAGAGGCTGGAGAGGTGGCTCAGGGGTTAAGAGTACTTGTTGCTCTCCCAGAGGATCTGGGTTCAGGTCCCCACACCTGAACCTGTGGGTTCAGGCTCACCGCCACCTCTAACTCCAGTTGCAGAGGATCTGATGCTGTCTTCTGACCTCTTCAGGTTCTGATATGCAACAGGGCGCATGTATCATGCCGGCACTCAGACAGAAAATAAAAACTAATCTTTTTCTAAAGTTGCTTTATTTTATTTTTTTATTTTAAATATTTTTTTAAGCTGGGCGTGATGGCCCACACTTTTAATCCTGGCACATGGGAGGCAGAGGCAGGTGGATCTCTATGTGTTCGAGGCCAGCCTGGTCTACAAAGTGAGCCCAGGACAGCCAGAGAAACCCTATCTTAAAATAATAATAATAATAATAATAATAATAATAATAATAATAATAATAAATCTTATTATTGGAACTTGGAAGTTTTCATGTGCTATTAGTCATTTTTCCTGTAATGTTAGAAGAGTTGTTGGAAAAAACAGGCTTTCTCCACACTTTCGTTCCTTGCTTTGGGATTCATTTGTCTGTGAGAGAGGGTCTTACCTAGCCTAGGATAACCTTGAACTTGACACGTAGACAAACATGACCTGATCCTCCTGCCTCCACCTCGATAGTGCTTAGATTACAGACATGGCCATCACACGTGATTTAAGCAGTGCTGGGGGTCAAACCCAGGGCTCTGTGACTGGAGGAGCACTCTCCCAACTAAGCGAGCCCCAGCCCATCTTGGGTTTTCAAGACTGGAACCCACTAGATGGGTCACCTCCTTACTTGGGCGGCGTGGGCTCTGCTTACCCTGCATGGGTGTAACTGGCCCAGTGAGGAAGTCTCTCCCAGCGTAGAAGGGCCGTCTCTAGGCAGCAGCCACTCTGCAGAACGCTGGCACTGAGCCCACAGGGGTGAGGCCTGAGCAGGTGGCTTCTCTGTAAGCCTCGGTCAAGAGCAGATGTTCTCAAGGCTGCACATTTGCATGTCCTCGCACTGTGCCAACGGTTCTGAGAAACGCTGCTGAGAGAAGCCCTGGGTTTGACCCCCAGCCCTGCACAGACTGTGTGTGATGGCCACGTGTGTAATCCCAGCACTAAGGAGGTGCAGGCAGGAGGATCAGGAGTTAGGGGTCAGGCTTGGCTACATAGCGAGTTCAAGGTCAGCCTAGGACAGAAGATCCTCTCTCACTCCTACGAGGAGTGGGAACCCTGAGGGTGTAGAGGGAGCAGGGTACAGTAGAGGGAGTGCAGTCCAGGCACACACACTAGGCTTCCTGACCTCGATCATTAACCCTGGCAAGGAACTTAACCACTCCAGGCCCAATTCTTCCAAGTCTGGTGCTCTCTTGAGAATGAAAGTCAACGTGCACTAACATCTAATCTTAATACATCCATGGCCCGGAGACACTCACACAGTGGTAGTATGTGTCCACGTGAAGGTGAAATGTCCTATATCTGAAATAGTTTGGACTGGGTGTGTTTCCAGTTCTGAAGTTTTTCAGGCCTGTGTTTTATGGCGTGACCACGGCAAACAATCCGAGATCTAAAAATTCACCACATTGATGCTCCAGCAGTTTCAGACTTCA